GCGCCTGTGGTCCCAGCTACTTGGGAGGCGGAGTCAGGAGAATCACTTGAGCCTAGGAGTTGGAGGTTGCTGTGAGCTGTGATGCTTCAGCACTCTACCCAAAGTGATGGCCTGAGGCTCTGTCTCAAAGAAAATAAATAAAAGAGTTGCAACATCATTTTTGATGAGTTTTAGAACAAAAATTACCCTGTATAACACTGAGTCACATAGCTTTTCAAGAAAAATTCAGACTTCTTTCTGGTTCTAGGGGCCGTAAATATTGCTGTATACTAGGGACTGTTAGGAGAAAGAGGTGGTCTTTAGTATGGAATACTGACAATCACTGTAAAACACCTGTCAAGCAAAGATGGAAAATGTAATCTGGAGAATATGCGATGTCAAATAAATTTGGCTTTTTGGCCCCAGTGTCACAGTCCTTAGTCTCAATTAGGCAGTATCAGTGTTGTGACCATCTTGACACTGTATATATTCTTCATCTCAATGTCTGAAATATTTTTGTTTTGACATGGATCCTCCATTCAATGAAAGAATTTAGACCAGATACTATTTTAAATAAACGGTGCAATGTGTCTTTCTGTAGAAGTAAATTTGCTTTAGAGTGACTGGAGAAGTATGGCTGACTTCCTCAGGAATACATACACAGATTTTCTGTATTTTTATCTTTTTCTTAAGACAAGAGTCTCACTTGATCACTCCTGGTAGAGTGTCATAATGTCTTAGCTCGCAGCAACTTCAAACTCTTGGGTTCAAGTGATCCTCTTGCCTCAGCTTCCGAGGTAGCTGGGACTACAGGTGCCTGCCACAACGCCTGGCTGTATTTTAGAGACAGGGTCTCGTTTTGGCTCAGGTGGGTCTTGAACCTGTGAAGTCAGGCAATCTACCTGCCTTGGCCTCCTAAGTACTGGGATTACATGTATGAGCCACCCTGCCCAGCTACAGATTTTTCTTAAGACAGATGTGAATTTTGTGAATAATTCACATTGCATAAGGTAAAAATCAGGAATTTGTTAGGAACATGTGGGTTACACTTAGAAATTTGGGTTCTAGGGTGGTTCCTGTGGCTCAGTGAGTAGGGCGCTGGCCCCATATACAGAGGGTGGCAGGTTTGAACCTGGCCCGGGCCAAACTACAGCAAAAAAATAGCCAGGCGTTGTGGTAGGTGTCTGTAGTCAACAGCTACTCGGGAGGCTGAGGCAAGAGAATTGCCTAAGCCCAGGAGCTGTAGATTGCTTGTGAGCTGTGATGCTACAGCACTCTACTGAAGGCAACAAAGTGAGACTCTGTCCCCCCCTTCAAAAAAAAAGAAATTTAGACACTAAACCAACATTGACTTAGTTTATCTCTTTTTGAGAATCTAGCTTACAAGGACAAAATAAAGCTAGCATAATAGCTAAATTAATAAAGTAGGGCATATGAAATGAAACCAAGTACTGTTTGCTTTCCTTTGTTTCAGATGGAGGAGATGTATAAGAAAGCTCATGCGGCTATACGAGATAACCCAGTCTATGAGAAGAAGCCCAAGAGAGAAGTTAAAAAGAAGAGGTATGTGTCTTACTATTGTCTTTTCAAGAGAAATAAGTTGGGAGCAGTTCCCGTACTGCTTCATCTTCTCATCTGTGAAGTCTCATCTGACTCTCAGAGAAGTTGTGCAAACTCGATCACTGGCTCTGCATGATGTGGCAGGAGCTAAGGGAACCAGGTTTGCTAAAGTAATTATGGTGATAGGAATGTATTAACCTCAGATGTTACTGAGGTTGCCCATTCTATCCTAGTACAGGATAAGTACCACTTACTGCCTTGTTTTACTGGCTACCTTAAGAAGAAAGTTACTTTTTGTTGATCTTTCATGGTTTATCTTTTTTTTTTTTTTTTTTTT